TTAAGAATGTTGCCCAAGGGCACAGTGGCTGAGACTCATTAAAGGAAGCTGCTGTAAAGAACCAGGGTGAAACTGCCCTGCCCATTCCTCGGGCACAAAACTCAATGGGCTAGAGAGACCAAAGGTTACAGAAAGATGAGTTGGCATGACTCAGGAGGAAGGAGGCTGGCAGGAAGGAAAACTCTTAGCATGTTTTGCCAGATCAGCATTCATCTAGGCTGGAAACAAGGAAGGATGCGATGTGTTGAGGTGACACTCCTCTGACTCAGTCTTTTATCACACCCTCATCAGTGAGTCTCTTGAGTTTCCCCTTGAGCAAATAAAAGTTTTGCAATGATATCATATTTATGTTGTGTTTCTACTTATCCAATGCTTTCCTTCTTTGTTGTTTTCTCCCTTGAAATACACCCAGTAATGATACAAATGAAAACAAACAAACAATCAAGTCTACTTTTCATTTATTTTATTTTACAATATAATTTAATTCTACATATCAACCACGGATTCCCTTATTCTCCCCCCTCCCGCCCCCCTCCCCTTCCCCTCAGCCCACCCCACATTCCCATCTCCTCCAGGGCAAAGACTCCCCTGAGGATTGAGATCAACCTGGTAGACTCAGTCCAGGCAGGGCCAGTCCCCTCCTCCCAGACTGAGCCAAGCGTCCCTGCATAAGCCCCAGGTTTCAAAGAGCCAACTCATGCACTGAGCACAGGACCCAGTCCCACTGCCTGGATGCCTCCCAAACAGAGTCTACTCCTTTTTAAATCCTAGGCATTCTTCCTTGGGAGGCTTTTGAACAGAATAGATACTTGGGAAAGGTGGATGGAGGGGAATAGACAAAACTTCCCAAAGCAGAAGGAACCTGAAAAATCATTGTCATCATTTGCTAAGGTTATGATACAGCAAGATAAGAGGAGAGTTGAAATTAGATTTTAGTAGTTTGATTCCTAATCTTAGTGTTTACGATTTTATAAATCTGGAAGATGTCACAGAAATTATGGGGCACAGAGTTTTCAAATTCTTTTCACATTTTGTTACAAATAACTCATGTTTTTAAGAGTGTGGACTAGCTAAAATGTCCCTGAGTAAAAAACATGCAGTTCACCTCAGGCTGCAGCCCCAACCTTTAGCTTTCTGTTTCTCCCTCAGAGGCCATGGAGTTTTGCTCTAAGACAATTTACAAATCACTAATGCTTCCTGGTGTTCTCATTTAATTAATGAGAATGAGAATGCGGAGGCCCACTGAGCTGAGGTGGGGGCCTATTGTTCGGAACTCAGGAAGTTAATACCTGGGTAAGTCACTCTTCAGGCCTTGACAGTTTAAAACGGCAGAACCAGCACAGAGTTCTGCATTTAAACCCTGGAGGACAAAGAAAGGGGGAAACTGTGATTTGTGCTGTTCCTCAAGGAGAAAACATACAGACAGCATCTTAAGCGGCAGTTCCAGGACACCGTAGACCAGGGCTCCCCATGCTGAAATCAAACTCAGAGTTCTCAGGTCAGACCTCTCACAGAGTTACATGAAGGTGGAGCGCAGACCTCTGAACTGGGGTTAAAGAAACACCCTGATCACTTTATTTATTTATTTTTTTTAATGTCTTTGTGAGTTTTAGGTTGTATACTGCAAAGGCCATGGAATACAGATGAGCTCTCCGCTGTTCGTCTTTGAAAATGGCCAGATTTCATTTGTAGAACCTGGAGACTGTATTTGTGGTGATCTGGTTTTCATTATACACACATCTGAAATTCACTTTCCAGGTTCTAAGGATTTATAGCTTGTCCCCTTCTTCAAGGGGGCAGCAGTAATGGCCTTTCCCACCATTCAGTCCACTGAACACAGGAGACACAGATTCTTTATATTAAAATGCTGCTGCGCAGGGAAAGCAAACACCGTTTTACAACATGCAGCAGAGCTCACTAGAAGCAGCCAGGGTCCGTTTATTAAAGAGCAGGAGTGAGTCATCTAAGAGCACCAGGTAGGCCAGCTGATACTCCAGATGTTCTGATGAATTTAAATAAATCACTTCGGTTGGTGAAGTTCCAGCTTGCTTTTGGCATGGCCTGCTCTCCAACATTGCTCCAGATTAAAGGACATAGCCCATCAGTCAGATCTCACCAGAGTGGAACAAGCTTCATACCCACCTCATTGTTTGAATGGGAACATAGATTTTTCTGGTTGTCAGCTGTGATACTGAAGTGTTGTTCTTGATCCCAGAACAGTAATTTTCCTTTATATGAAGATCATTGTTCTCTCTGGAGTTCAATGAGGGCCAAGTCAGTGTGCAGCTCACATTTAGGACATGTGATAGCATAGGAGCATAGTCCCATGGGCATGTGACAACATATCCTCACTTAAAACTGGCGTCTCTGGAGACATAGACCTATTTGGGAAATCTCTAGCATATTAATGAAGAAGTGCAGGTAGACCCTACAGAGTACAGCTAATCCCTAAGAAATATTTGTTAATGAGTAAGAACTAAATACTTCTGATTTTGTTATGAGAGAAGACCAGGAAGCAGTCCTTAGTGATTGGACATAGATGTAAGTAGGCAAAGTAAATAAAAAGTCAAACATGTTATGAGTGAGGTAATACAAAGTAAATTAACTCCAAATAAATTCAGCAACTATGTGAACAAGAGAGAAGGTGGTATAATCAGCAAATGACTTTACTAAAGGGGAAGCCATGGTATTGGGAAGGAAGCCTGAGAAGGCTTATTTCCTCCTCTTTGGGTGCCTGAGTCTGACTCACAAGTGAAACTGCAGTGGAGTCAGCCCCTTCTGAACAGGTGTGGTATCATCAGACTCAGAAGGTCAGATCAAGCCATTCTGTGTTGCTCCAGTTTTTGTGTGTGTGTGTGTGTGTGTGTGTGTGTGTGTGTGTGTGTGTGTGTGTGTGCTGTATGTGTGGTTTGTAATGTTGTCACTGTTATAATGCACTGAACTATAATAAGAGATGAGTTTCCCTCATTCTTCCTTGCCTATAAAGGATATACAATTAAGAAGCTTTAGCTCAGCGGTTATAATTAATTTATTTATCCTATACTTATTCAACAAATATCTCTCCTTAGTACAACCAGGTCCTTGGTGATTGGATAGAAATGTAAGCAGTCTAATTAAGTAAATAAAAGGCACAGATTTCATGAGTTCTATTAAGACAAAGTAGATGCTTTGAAATAGCTTCCATCAGGAGTGTCCTGGATAGTCTCACATCTGTTGCTGTGATAAAATACCCTGACAGAAAGCAACTTAAGGGAGAAAGGGTTTAGTTTAACTCACAGTTCTAGGTTACAGTACATCATTGTTGAATTCATGGCAGCAGTAACTTGAAACAGTCACAGCACATCCACAGTCAAGAGTGGAGAGAAGTGAATGAATGTACGTTGCTTTCCAGTCAGCCTCCTCTCCACACTTACATGTCGGGAACCCAAACGCCGGAGATGGTAGCACTCACAATGGGAAGGTTGCCCCACCTCAATCAACTGAAGCATTCAGGACAATTCCCCACAGACCTGCCCACAGGTCAACATGTTCTAGACAGTCCTTCATTGAGACTCTCATCCCAGGTGGTTCTAGATTGTGTGAAGCTGATAATTCAAACCAAGCATCATGGGATGACATGTGTTTTCTATGAAGAGCCATATTAACCATATGTGGGCTAGTCCATGTTTTTGAAATGATTCTAATTCTTATATCTTAAGAATAGCCATAGCTGGTTGTGCATGCCTGTAACCCAGCACTGGGAAGGTAAGGGGGATCTTGAGTCCTAGTCTTACCCAGCTACAAATAGTCTTACCACGAAACAATTTAAGCTACTATTTGTTAATAGATTTATGACTGACTAAAACTTACTAATTGATAGTAAACTTTGGCTTTCTAATATTTCTACACCATCATTAAATATTATTCGTTTATTCTAACTTATAAAATGTTTAAAAGCATTCTTCACTTGTGGACTATACAGAGGTAGTTGGAAGTCAGATCTGGACTACAATATGCCCCTTCCATCAACTCCTGGCTATGTGGCTCAGGGAGAAATCTTTGCAGTTAATCTGAAGATAGGTTGGTAACATCTCTGCATGGTCCAGAGCACCTGGATTAGGGCTATAACTCAGTGGTAAAGCACATGCTTTGCACTGTCAAGGTTCTGGGTTGAATCTGTAACACCAAAAAAAAAAAAAAATGACAGCTTCATGTATAAAGGGAACCCAATTATATGAAATACTGAGGAAAAAAAGAGAGAGAGAGTAATAAGGGCCTAAAGCTATCCCTAAGGACCCCACAGTGCATACAGTTGTATATGAAGGTTTGCCATGAAATAGAGTATTTATTTTGGAAACCATGGATTATTGTGTGTGTAGGTATTGATCTCTGGCAATTAGGTGAAAGGTGTGATAGGAAAGAAGAGCACACATGGGACATAAGTAATTTTTTAACAAAATGTCAGATTTTCTCACAGTCATTGTCTCTGTAGAATAAGTTGATTTCTTCCCCCCTTCTGTATGGTGACTTGGCAGAATAAAAAGAATCGTGTAGTCTTTGTGTTGATTAAAATGAATTATCCTGTGGAAATGGTAGATTTTTTTTTCATTGAATGATTTAACCATATGTCAGTGTCACTGAGAATGTTACCATATGTTTGCCAACCAAATGTCATAATTCATTGGGGTGGGATTTGTGCAGTGAAATCATGAGTAAAGATGAATAAAACATTTTTATTCATATATACATTTAGAGTCTATTCTTTAGCTCTTTCCTTACATTTGAAACGGGGTTGTTTTTGCTGCCACAGACTTGTAAAGTGGCCATCTGGGCAGTGTGATTGGAGAACATCCATAAAAATGATTGATGAAAAGAAATATCCGAGTACTGCTTTGTAGACTGGCTTTTGTGGACTCATACTTCATCTGTGATTTCAAAGCTTGAGATGGAAAAAAATAGGTTTGTTACCTATTGAGTAACCTCATGTGGCAGAGAGATGATTACTTCTGTCTGTATTTCAGAGCTGTGACAGACCTCCACATCTTACCCAGATGCCATGAAGAGGAACATTTTCTTCATGTTAAAAAGATACCCAGAGAACACACCCATCTGTCTGCTGCAAGAACATGTACAAACTCCTTGTTTACCAGAAGAATCTGAAGCGTTGCTGAGAACTAAAATATGCCAAGGAAAGAAATAAAAGAAAATTATGACACATTGTGTTTTTTAAGAGGTGTTTTTGGTGAAAGCAGAGATTTGGGGTGTTTGACACCTAAAAGGCATCTTCCAGTATATTCTATCAAAATGTTAAAACAACCTGCAGGAAGATGGATATACTGTTCCTATTGTGTGGAAAAGACAATGTTGACTATCACAAAGCATTTGATGTCTACTTCACATTTTCCTCCATTAGATGACATATCCAGTGGTGTAGGAACTCATCACTGGGCCATTACACCAATGCATATTTAAAATTTGAGTGTCAGGTTTTATGATGGGTTGTTGTCATTTTTACATAGCTTCAGTTATATCTATGTAATTATCTATGTAAGACTTACAGGTGAAACAAATGACTTAAGTATTTGCTCCCAATTACACATTTATTAAAAATAATAACTTGAAAGAACTCTGTTGTAATCAGAGAAGTTAAAAAGTTGCAATAAAAGAAGAGAGTGCTATAGGAGTGCTATAAGAAGGAAGAGAATGATTAATTTTCCTGAAAAAACCTGGGTTGTCTCAAGTGTGAGCTGTCACTGCCACTGGGCCTGCAGCAGCTGAAGTTGCAGTAGAAAGTATTTTAATACAAGGGAAAGCAATGTTCAGAACAGGAATGATCGTTCCGATTCACTTCTCTAGTTCATTTTTTTAAATTATGAAACAAAAAAACTTGCAAAAAGTACATTTATTATATTCAACTTCAGAACTTTTCTGAAGCAAATATTCATATAATAAGACCAAGCATGAGAAATACCCCCAAAGTCACCAGTCAGGGTCAGCATCATGGCTGCACAGAACCTGGTGCTAACATGGGTTCCCTGCTCAGTCTATACTATATCTTTGCATTCATAATGACTTTTTAAGAGTTATGTTAAGCACAGGGATGTTTTGCCTACATACATGTCTATGCACCATGTGCCTGCAGTGCCCAAAGAGGCCAGATGAGGGCGTTGGATCCCCTGGACCTGGAGTTACAGACAGCTGTGAATCACCATGTGGGTGCTGGGAATCCAATGCCAATCTTCTGGAAGAGCAGCCAGTGCTCTTCACTACTGAGCCATCTTCCCAACACTCATAATCATTTTTTTAAAGCAAAGAGCCCAGAGTTTTCATTTAGCATGACCCCGTAGTTTATAAAGTTGGGGAGATGACTCAGTGGCTAAAGTGCTTGCTCTCTAAGTGTGAAGAGCCAAGACTAGATGCCCAGGATTCCCGTAAGTATGGGCAGGCATTTACCTGTCATGCAGAGATGGGATCCCTGGGGTAACCTGGATAGCTAGAATAGCTGAATTGGCAAGATTTGGTTTCAGTGAGAGACCTTGCCTCAATAAATAAAGTGGAGAGATGTCAAGGAGATCACTGTTGTATGGCGAAACTTTTCTTAGGGAGACACATCACACACATCTGTTCACCCCAGATAATGAACCCATGACAGATTAAAGTACGGATCCCATCAAAGTCCAAATTGGTCAAACAGTAAGTTTTATTGGGGTTACTTACAGGAGCAAAAATGCCTCAGACACCCTCAGCATTAAAGCCCACCCCAGCATGGGTGACAGCTCACAAAGCTGGGAACCTGGAATACTCTGCACAGCCTACCGGCAGCTCAATGGGTTGGAGAGTGTCCTTTGCACCTGCGTCAGTTGGTCTGAACCTCTTTCTACACATCTTGGCTGGTTTCTGTTTCTTCCAGGCAGCTGTCCTGGTCTCAAGCGTCTTCTTGCTGCTTGCCTTGTCTGAGAGTCTTTATAGCTTAGCTTGTCCAAGGGACTCCCAGCCTCTATTGCTTACTCTGGCAGAGGGGACCTAGTTGATATGGTCAGTTTCAGGGACTTTTAAAAACCATTTTGAGTTGTTTACCTTCTTATTACTTACTCTGGCAGGAGGAGAAGTAGTTAATCTGCTAAATTTCAGGGACTTCCTGAAGTTATTTTGAGTTGTTTACTATCCTGTTTAAGGAGCTTCCCTGCAGGATTGAATGTTTCAATCTCTGGGGGAAATTGTTACACAATAAGATTCACTGTCCATTTGGGGCCTCCACACACATACACACACAGGGGCACTTATATACATATATACAGATGTACACATAACCATGAAGATAAGGAGCACAGTTCAATGAACCAAATGCTATTTGTGTATGCTGCTACAGCCAAGAAAGAAAGGAGTGTTTCACCTGGATAAAACATAACTGTGTATGTGTGTAGATATATATTTACACAATCTTTTTAGCATGAAAGAAGTGAGATATTAGAAGTAGTGTAGGACAAGAAATCTATGTGTAAAAAGTGAAGTAGCATCAATAATATGAGGCTACATAACAAAAGTTGACAATAGTACTTGAAGGGACACACACTACAGGGTGCTCCCTTCCAGACCACCTCCCAGACCAAACTGTTTTCACAGAGATATAGTTTATTAAGCAGGGAGGAAAAGTAAAGTGGCTGATTTCTGAACCAAGCAGAAAATGGCAGCAAATGACCTCACAGTGTGATTTTAAGAGGAAAGAAAGGGAGGTCTGTGTTAGAATGGGCTAGGCTGGGGTGGTGTGTTTTGATTGGGCATGTTAGTTAGAGCAGTCAAAAGGAGGCTTTTGATTGCTGAACTTCAATACTTTGATAGTTGGACCTTGCTGATCAGCCTTAGGAATGAATCTGGCATAAGAAAGTGTCCAAATGAGGGAATAGACCTTGGTGGCTAGCTTTAGGGATGCAATCTATGGTTTACAAGGGAGAGGGAAGAGGGAGAGAAAAGGCCTGCCAACAACGTGTTTGCCATGCTCAGGCCTGCTAGCTCCTTTCCTCTCTAGTGATGGTGCCTGTGATTAGAGATGTGTGGGGCAGTAGCAAAGGTCAAAGACTACAGGCAAAGGGAAATCAGAGTAAACACTCTGAGTGCATGGCAGGCAGTCCTCACCAGCCACTCCCTATTTCAGAGACATGTTAAAGGAGAGACATTATGATAGTAAGCCATAATAAGATCACAAAGTCTTTCCAGTGGACAACAGGACTGATCTATATCAGCCACAAGCAATATTATGTCTTTTTGGTAGCCCACAAAACCCATATCCAACAGCAGCATTCCACATTCTGATTAAGATAATCATTATTAAGCACAATGACTATAAGTAACAAAACCATCCAGATATAGTGTAGTGGCAAGGTGATGCCAAGGTCAGCTCTGGTGGACGACATGCATTCTGCAGTGGTACTAGAGAAAAGCAAAAGACACATAGGTTTAATTACAACAATGCTAATCCTAAGCAGGAGTCCTTCAAAGTTAAAAGATGTAAAAAAAGATCATGGAAAATCAGCTTTTGTCAAACACTCATTTTCTATGTAACTATGTTGCAGAAACAATACTGGACAGTTTCATACATATCAGCTTCATGAGATATATATCTATATCTATCTATCTATCTATATAGATAGATAGATAGATAGATATAGCCACTTATAGTTAGACTGTTGATATTTAAGGAAGTTTTATTAGTTACATACTTCTGTATAACAGGTTACTCAAAACCTTACCAACTTAAAATAAGAAACATTTATCTCACCTGGTGTCTTAGTGTTTCTATTAATGTGATGAGACACCATGACCATGGCAACTCTTATAAAGGAAAACATTTAATTGGGGTGGCTCACTTATGGTTCAGAGGTTCAGTCCATTATCAGCATGGTGGGACATGGTGACATGCAGGCAGACATGGTGCTGGAGAAGTAGCTGAGAGTCCTACACCTTGCAGGCAACAGGAAGTGGTCTGAGTATCTGAGCAAAGCTTGAACAAAAGAGACCTCAAAGCCCTCCCCAACAGTGACATGCTTCCTCTGACAAGGCCACACCTCCTAATAGTGCCACTCCCTGTTTTCTTAGGTTGGGACCTTTGGAACAGGTAAGCTGGGTAGTTCTAGCCAGGGTTTCTCTTGGAGTTATCATTAGTGAAATTCTGGACGATGGACTTCTAGCTTCACTGCTTCAGTTGACTGCCAGGTTGAGCAGGCTGGAACAAGAGCCTTTTAAAAATACTCTCTTCCATATAGTTGAGTGGCTATCTGAAAGACATAGAGACTGACTTTCCCCAAGGTGAGAAATTCAAGAGACAGGAGCTTCAGTCTTAATGATCTAACCTAGAAAGTGATCCACCATCACTTCTGTCTTGTTCTATTCATCGTTCTCACCAACCTTGATGATCTGTGGGTGAAGAATTCCAAATGTGGCTATAGAAACATCGGGTGCATGGGATCTATTCCTGAAGACTAGTTGTCACATACATCGAGTAAGCTTTCTCACATTTTTAAAGCTAGACATTCAAATTTTAAAAGGAAGTCAGTCAGGCTAAAAGTTCTACATTATCTCTATTTCATGAATTGTTAGACATTTGGAATCAAATAAAATTTTTGAATGTTTTTTTTTCAGATTTTGTGGAAATCCATACATTAAATCAGGATTGGGAGTGCAGCTCTGTGGTGGAGTATTTGTTGTGCATGAATAAAGTGCTGAGTTAGAGCTTTACTGTCACAGACAAACAAACAAGCCTTTGCATGATGTATAACCAACCTAAAAATAAATCAGGATTCTTAAAGTGTAGTTCTTAATGAAAAAATAAGAGATTATACCCATCTCTCACATTAAGCTTATAGGAAAAACAGGAGGAAATTCAATTGAAAGAAAAATGTATCTCTGAGATAGGTTTGGGATTTGATGTTGACATGACAGGCTGGCTCATCAAATACCAGTCCCAATTTATTTTTCTTTAGTCAGTCTCCCACTTCTGTGAAAGGTGGAGGGGTAAAAAGCTAAGATTCTCAGCTTCCTTTCCGGCTTGGAGAACAGTCACTGCAGGCCTAGTCAAAGAACTCGACTAGAAGTCAAGTCGGTGGGATTTGGGGCTTAAGACAAAACAGAGGTCCTTCCTTGAATTAACTTGATATCCCAGCCCACCCTCTTTGCCACAAAAGCTGAATTGATTTCTGATTTCCCTGAGCTCTCAAACTAAATCAAAAGCCCTCCAGTTATAGACTTCTTGTCACGTGCTAAATAAATACTTGTTCAGTTCTCTGTCCCCTTGCTTGGCTTTCCTGCTCCTTGAAGTCATAAGTACTCCTAATCCTGTCTGTGAGTTCACATTAGAAGATATTAAAAATAAAGTCAGAAGAACCCTACGGGGACAGAGAGGGATGCTGAGAAAACATCCGTGGCTTATTGAGTGATCGTT